TCACACACATGCACACACATACTCATACACACATATCACACACATGCTCATACACAAACACATACCACATGCACACACGTGCACATGCACGGACACTTCCTGTTCCCATCTGACATCTGTTGAATTAATAAGAGAGAACATTTGTGTCTGTATTGGAATCTGGACACAGGTGTAATTTAGCTAAATTAGAGCAGAAAGCAGGGCAGGAGAATTCCCACTGCATATATGTAAGTTGTCCTTCCCTAAATGTTTGCTTCAACATTTAGGTCTTGCTATCACTGGTCTCCAGTGAGCTCATCTGGATACTAACACAGTGTTTAAAGGAAACTCAGAACCAACTCGCCCTGGGTTGACTCTTTCCTCTCTCACGCTCATGTGCCTTGTGGCATGGCTGAGAAGCAGCACACAGAGAACTAGAGGGCATTTCCTTACTTGACTGAGAAGCTGGTCGGCTGTCAAGTTCTGTTGGCTGCGCACAGGGCACAGACACTGTCAGGACTCTGCACCACACTCAGAGGATAACTGGGAAGAGCCTTAACATCTTCACCACCTTTATACTGAGTTCCTCCACGTTGTGCTCAGTCAGGGAAGCCATTTCCTCAAAGGAGACCCAAGAGTCTAATCCCTGGCCCTCTTAAATTCACAAAAATATTCCCTAACAGAAGCGAAGCAGGAAAGTCCTTGAGTGGTTGCAGGAACACCCTCCTGTGCCTGCCAGGCAGGCTTATCTCATTTGATCCGTTCTGCTATGGGTTTTTGTCGGTGGTGGTGGTGGTGCTATTGTTTGTTTGGTTTTTCCCGTTTGTTTTAAACTAGCTCTCACTTTGTAGCCCAGGTTGATCTGGAACTCTTTATGTAACCCAGGCTGACCTCAACCTTGTGGCAATTGGCAATCCTCTTATCTCAGCTTCCCACAGAAGTACTGGGATTATAGGTGTGGACTATCCCACAGAACTGTCTTCTTGCTGTTCCTTTCTGACAGTCTCACTAAGGAGATGGACTAGAATTCTCCACTCTCTTCCTTGGTCTTCTGAGTGTCAGTGTTATAGACATACAGGCATGAGTACCACACCTGGCTCACTCACTCAGTTGCTGTATTACCCCTGGAACAAAGCTATTATCAACTTCCTACCACTTAATACTAGAGAAGAAGAAGAAGAAGAAGAAGAAGAAGAAGAAGAAGAAGAAGAAGAAGAAGAAGAAGAAGAAGAAGAAGAAGAAGAAGAAGAAGAAGAAGAAGAAGAAGAAGAAGAAGAAGAAGAAGAAGAAGAAGAAGAAGAAGAAGAAGAAGAAGAAGAAGAAGAAGAAGAAGAAGAAGAAGAAGAAAACAGATCCATGGATGGAAGCCTGGATGGGTCGTGACAGTCATTTTCTTCAGATGGGAAAGCACAGACTTCTAACCGACTTGTTCACAATTACAGAATTAAAGGTGAACTCAGTAGCCACAGGGAATGAGCACTGAGTTATGATGTAATTTGGATGATTCTCCAGGGAGTTCTACTGAGTACAAAAATCAATGCCAAAAAGTTCACATGTTCTGGTCAGGTCATAGTGGTGCACATCTTTAATCCCAGCACTCAGGAGGCAGAGGCAGGTGGCTCTCTGAGTTTGAGGCCAGCCTGGTCTACAGAGCGAGTTCCAGGACAGCCAGGACTACATGGAGAAACCCTGTCTTGAAAAAAAAAGTTTACATACCCTTTGACAAGATTTTAGAACTTGCAATAGTGGTTGGTAAGGGTTGGGTACCCTGGGAAGAGGGGACAGCAGGGAGGCAGGGGTGCTTATTTTAGGACAGTACAAAGGATGCTAAAGGAACAGTTCACTGTCTAGTGTACATGGACCTTCCTGTGTGACCACAGTGTGTAAATTTAAAACTGGGAACCTTTGAACTGGGCAGTGGTGGTACATACTGTTAGTCCCAGCACTCGGGAGGCTGAGGCAGGCAGATCTCTGTGAGTTCAAGGACAGCCTGGTCTACAGAGCAAGTTCCAGAGCTACACAGAAACCCTGTCTCAATTAAACAAAAACAAAACAAAAAAATGGGAAACTTTGAATAGCACATCTTCTCAGCAGCTTGGTGATAAAAGTGCTACTTACTGCTTGGGAAAATGATAAAAGGCGCAGAGAATTTCTCAATATAATTGCTTAGAACCCTGCATGAATTCCTAATTACCTCAATAAAATCTTCCATTCAAATAACGAATGAGTCAGGTTGTGTCTGTGGCGCCTGGGTCTTGCCTTTGCATTATGTGTCACCCCTGGTTGTGACAGAGGAAGGTATGGTCTGAACTTTACAGCCCCCAGTCTGACTCACTGCATTCTGGGCAGATTGGAAACTGGGCATATCTAAGCCCTAGGAGATGAAGTGGGTTCCCCAGAAGAAACTTCCAACAATGTTCCCACCATGCATGAAAGCCATCATGTCCTAACTCCACTGCGCGCTAAGATTTTGTGTCTAAGTCAGTATTCTAATACATCCTCTCTGAGTTTTCCTTGACTCCTTGCTTAGACAGGAGAGACTGAGAGAGGTGGCTCTGGGCTGAAGAGTGAGGACTGCTCTGCAGAGGACCTGGGCAGGTTCAGTTCCCGAGCTACATGGGGCTGTGCCCATAGCCCACCTGCTAAAACTAAAACGAATGACTAATCCATCAAAGTTCGTAGTTCTGGGGAAGTCTCTAAATGGACTAACCTTGCTCTTTGGCTTCTGTAGTTCTGCTTCTGGCTAAGTGTTATTGTTAACTGAAATATGTCAACTCAGAACATATTTCTTAGAAGTTCACCCTGAGAAAGGCTTGGGGATACACTGAGATCCAAACACCCAGGGTTCTCTTGGCTTAAACCCATGTCCAAGCAGTCTTCTCTGGTGAATGCCCGACAAAATTTCTGGAGGTACTGAGATCCCAGAGACCAGACCTCTCTCTAGACACCTGGGATCTGGAAGCTGACCTTCACCAGACTACTCTTCTGGGGTCCACAAACCTTTCTGAGTTGCTCAGATCAAGGTATCTTATACCTAGACTGGACAGTCTAGAGTGGGATGTCTCAGTCAGATGCCAGGTTTGTGCTCAAGTGAATCTGAAACAGAGAGCCCTTCACCAAGAAGGGGTCCTAATGAGAGACTAACACCATGGTAAGCTCTGGGAAAAGTGACTTCACTGAGATCTGGCTGGGGGTTGAAAGTGCTTTTTAGTTGTTATAGATACCTTTTTCTGGTTGGCAGAAGCTTCTGCACCTGGACTGAAACTGCTCAAATTGTAGCTAAAATACTCCTCCAGGAACTGATCCTCTGATCTGGCCTTCCCCTAGCAACGGGGTCTGTGGTGGTTTGAAAGAAAATGGGCCCCAAGGGCCCATTGGGAGGTGTGGCCTTGTTGGAGGAAGTATGTCACTGTGGAGGTGGGCTTTGAGGTCTCATATGTGCTCAAGCCACACTCAGTGTCTTAGATCACTTTCTGTTGCCTACATAAGATGTAGGACTCTCAGCTACCTCTCCAGCACCATGTCCCACAATGATGATAATGGACTGAACCTCTGAACTGTCAACCAGTCACAATTAAATGCTTTCCTTTATAAGAGTTGATATGGTCATGGTGTCTCTTCACAGCAATAGAAACCCTAAGACAGAGTCCAACCATGTCCTGACTTTCATAGCCAAGATCTCCCAATTAACAGATGAAGCTTTAGATACAGAGCAAAATCTTCATTGTGCAAAGAGACCTCAGAGTTCTGGGCAGGTAGAAAGAGTGAACAACGCATCAAAGGAAACTCTAACGAAACTCTCAAAGAGTCCTGCAGAGGGCGGATAGACCTCCTTCCCTTTGCTTCAGTAGGACACTATGTTTAGAAGACTCCCTCCACTGCTTCTCAGTCTCAGGGACCAGAAGTTGCCAGAACTCTCTAACCATTCCTTTCTCAAGTTGCTCACAGGCTCTCCAGTGGACTATCCTAGTGACCCAGCCAACCTCTGAGTCCATTACCACTTTCCCCTTGCTCCCGTCCAACGATACTGTCTGGGTCAGTCAGGTAGCCAAAGGGACACTGAAACCAACCTGGAGAGGACTCTGCATGGCAATCCTCTCCACTCTATGGCTGTGAAGGTAGCTGGCATTACACCATAGAAATACCATACCCAGGTCAAGAAAGTGGAAGCCGCAGATGCTGCCAGATGGACTGTCTCCAAACTCGGAGTCCACTGAGATTAAGGTTTCTTTGGGCCCTCAGACCCCTTTCCTCCCTGCTCGTCTACACTATCCTGAGACTTGTGTTTGGTACAAATACAGGGTTATGGTTCAACCCTCACAGTCCCCAGGCAGGGACCTGGGAACTATGGGAGACAGATATGGAGAAGTTACTAGTTAATGTGACTACAGACCAGAGCCACATCCATCTAGACCTTTGCTTACTGATGCCCACTTCAAGTGTCTGGTTGTGCTGGAGAAAGGAAGCTGATTGTTACTGGGAACAGCCCAAATTAACATTAGCAGACTTGTAAAGGGCTAAAACTTGTCTAATAACCAAAACCTTTAACCCTTGTACTTCCCTTGGCCTTCTGCCTGCATTCTACCCCGAGTTAATTCATCTGGACAACAGCAATATTACCGAGCCTCTGAGACTACTTGGTGGGTACGTACCTATTGTTTGATTGAATTTACTTCTTCTGATGCTTTCCAAACTAAGTAGACAGGTTGATCAGGACCTAGAGGTATTAAAAGTTTCTAATTTGAACCAAGTGATGGTGGCACATGACTTTAATCCCAGCACTTGGGAGGCAGAGGCAGGCAGATCTCTGGGTTTGAGGCCAATCTGGTCTACAGAGTGAATTCCAGGACAGCTAGGGCTGCACAGAGAAAAACCCTGTCTCAAAAGAAAGTTTCCATTTCTGAATTAAAACAACAGTTAGATTCCTGAACACCCAGTGTAATTGCTGGCCAGCTACTTAAGACTTTTTTATTGATTTAAACCCATGTCCAAGCAGTCTTCTCTGGTGGATACTCACCTATAGCACTAAAGAGAGCCACGATTGCATTTGAAGTCACTTTCAGCTCTGCCTGAGTCGAAGAAAAACATGCCTTCCTAGTAAGAAATGGTGGAACCCTGGATAATCTAATCAAAAAGTAGAACTTGGAGTGCCAATTCATTCAGACCCTTCATGGAAGCTCTGTGTTCTTAGTAAGTACCATCCAGATGATTGTGAGCAAAGTTTGTGCCGTGAACTCAAGACTGTGCAGCCCAGCACGTAATCACAGTGGACACGACCTCTAAGAGACAGAAAGAGTGGAGTTGTAAGGACTCAGGCATTATGCCGGCCTGCCCCTGCCTCCTGGCAGAATGCACTCAGGCAGTACCCTGGTCAGCCCAAGGTTCCATGGTTGTAGTAGTCTGCACCCAGGTACAAAGGACCCCTTTAAAAGAAAGACCCCGCCTATTTGCACTCCGCCCTTTCCTGTTTCCTACTATTCCCCTGGGGCAAACAGGACTTTTCCTGATTTCTTCTCTTCTGTCCTCTCTCTGTCTCTCTGTCGCTTTACCTCTTTTCTTTCCTTCCCCCTCCCTCCCCTTTCTAATAAAACTTCTCACGTAAGCCCTGTCTGCCTGGCGTGTTTGTCCTCCGCCTCGGTCACCCTCGCCTACCATGGAATCCAACCCACGCACAATATTCATAAGAGGTGGCTAATCAGAAGAGTAGGGGATTGGACAGAACCAGGAGGGAAGGAGGGATGTGACGATTCATTTCATGCGTCCAGCAAAGGTGTGAAAAGAGGTGATTTAAACCGTGGCAGGGAGAAGGGAACTTGTCGCAGAAGGTATTGCCTGACACCAGAAAACCAAGCTAGCCTTTTGCTTCTGTCCTTTGTCTAAGATAAACTGACAAAAGGAACGGCCACCACTAACTATCCCCGGGCTGCAGAGACCATGCTGCAAGCCCAGCTGGAGTAGCAACTGCCCTATCCGGGACAGGCATTGTAGCAGCATGGGTTTCATTGTTCTACAAATGTCTTGGCTGGAGTGAAAATATTCTGATGTTACCTATAGGCCACCCTTGGCTATCAGACTATTGAAACACAGGAACCCAAGGAATTGGAATTTCTCCGGGAATCTCATGCAGCGGGAAAGGAAAGGCTAAAGGCTAGAACCTGTCAGAAGAGGAACTTGTCTTACCCAGAGAGATTTCACCCTGGATGACAACTTGGGGACCACCTGTACTAGTTACTTTTGCTGTGATCAAACACCTTGACCAAAAGCAGCACACTTGAGGAAGGCAATACGAGACAACACTAGGAACTCTCAAAGTACCCCATCCAGTGATGACGCACCTCTCAAAGGTTCCAGGGCATCCCTCAAGCAGCATGGACAACTGGGAACATAGGTGTGCGAAGATCTGAGTCTGTGGTGACATTCCCATTCCAACTGCCACACCACTGTTCAGGAGAGACCGAGGCAGACTCAACAGTGGGTCACTGATTGACCGGGAATGTAACTATGCATACCACATGACCTTTAGTTAAACAAAATCATGCCAGAATTTTAAAATGAATTTGGGGGTGAGGGTGGGTCACTGGACCTTCTTATTTGTCCCTTTTCCCAGAGTGGCCACATTGAGTACATCTCATTTCTCTGTTTCTCCCATTACATGTCCCTTTAATTGTTATGATAAGACACATATCATAAGAGGGACCTTGGAGGGTTGGAACCAAGGAGCCCCACAGTGAGTAAGAGACAGACACACCATGCAGACAACACTCGTGTTTTATTGGCAAGGGGAGGGAAGGGAGAGAGAAAGGGATTGCAGAGTGGCCTTGTTGGAAGAGAGAGACAGAGGTACAGAGAGGCAGAGAGGGAAGGCAGGAGAGAAGAAGAGAAAGAGAAAGAAGACAGAGAAAGCAGCCAGGGCTCCAAGGGGCAGGCCAGGTGCGCCTGAATGCTGACATTCATCCCTTTTTGTCTACTTAAAAGGTAAGGAGTTAAGCCGGGCTGTGGTGGCGAACGCCTTTAATCCCAGCACTCGGGAAACAGAGGCAGGCAGATCTCTCTGAGTTCGAGGCCAGGCTGGACCGACAGCCTCCAAAACAATACAGAGAAACCCTGTCTCGTAAAACCAAAAAAAAAAAAAAAAAAGGTAAGGAGTTAGTGGTGGCGGTTTAGGGGAATGAGTTCTCAAGACTGCTTCCTACTGAACGGGGGGGGGGTTAGAATCTTGGGGGATCTGATAAAGCCAGGGTGTTGGCCATGTCCTGGGGTAGCTGGTTGTTTCACCGCTGTCCAGGCTGTATGGAACCGGCCAGTACCTCTCTTGGACCTGGCAAGATCATGGCAGAGCAGAGAACAAAGTTAAGTTAGGGAAAAATTGTTTTCTTAGGTCCTGGTAATTGAGGGGGAGGAGTGTCAAGACCAGGGAAAGGTGGGGAGGCTTGGGCTGTTGATTAACAGTACTTAATTGAGGGGTGCATCTGACCTGTTTGAGGTGAATCCAAGTTGAGTTCCTGGAATTTACAGGAATTCTTTGAGCTTATAAAAAGGTATAAGTTTTAGACACATTAGCATTCCCACTGTTTATAATCTGTACTGAAATTCAGACTGTAGAAATGGCAGTATACTTACACCGAAAATGATTTTGGTTGAAAGCATTAATACTCCTTTTTCTATTCAGAAAACTGTGACAGACGTTTTTAGCCCAATGAAAAGCATCTTTTAAGTCTACAGTTAGAAAACAACCAAAGGAACAGGGAGGTGTTGATCGGTGGATCGGTGCATGCCTTTAATCTCAGCACTTGGGAAACAGAGGCAGGTGGATCTCTGTGAGTTCAAGGCCAGCCTGGTCTACAGAGCAAGTTCCAGGACAGGCTCCAAAGTTGTACAGAGAAACCCTGTTTCAGAAAATTATAAAAGAAAAGAAAGGGAGAAAGGCAAAAAGGAAGAGAGAGAGAGAGAGAGAGAGAGAGAGAGAGAGAGAGAGAGAGAGAGGAATTTAAAGTATCGTATGTATCATATGGTGATAGTATGGTGTTTAGTATTCTGCCAGAAGTTAATAGTTTATCAGAACTCCATCAATTAGTGTTAAGACTATGAACTTTTGTAGTCTTAATACATCAGTAGCATAATGAGAGAGAGAAATGTGGAGCATGTTTCATTCTTTTAAATGTCTCAAATCACTTTGTCTCTGTCAGCACTTAAGCCCTTTCGTCCTCAGACCTTCATAACTTACGCTTACATGCACTAAGTCACTTTCTTAGCCCCTGAAACAATTCTTAGATTCTCCAGTCTTAAGCTTTCATGTCCTCACATAAACTTTGCACCTTAAAACACCTTTTATCTAATTCACTAAGAGACAGGTGGCTGACCACTGAGAGCTAACGAGCAAAGCGAGTTTCTGTAAACAAAGGAATGATAAGAAGGTACACTGAAATCTGTTTTGTGAGTTTATCTCTTCTCTGAGAGGTGACAAGGTAGACTGTGTCTAGACTTAGTATTAGCTCTAGGAGAGTGAGGCCTGTGTCCTGAGTTTTACACAGAGACCTGAGAAGGCAGCTGAAGCCCTGGCTGCTGCTGTCAAAGTGACAGGGCGACCTCTAGCCTAGTCCTCAGATAGCATCAGAGTTCTGAGAAGGATACGCTTTACCTGAGTGAGAGATTGAAAGCCACAGAGACCTACTTGCTGGCTCCCTAGACGGCTCCCGAGGGTCCTTCACAGTCATTGACAGCAGAGGTCTCAGGGCAACATCAGTCTTCGGCTGGAAGGTGTAGGCCTGCCAAGCCTCAGAAGATCCTATAGGGCAGGAAATTGTAAGAAGACCAGCCTACCTTTATCTAGGCAACTTGAGGCAGTCGATCCCCTAGTGTCCTGTTTCCCAGTCTGAAGAGGGTCTTAGCAGCAGTTGAGATGAAAGGCAGGTGTTGTTCGTGGCTGACATTGCCGGTTTTGAAGCAAGTTCTGGGCGGACGCTCTTCTGGGCCCATTCATCTTCTTTGGAGGAAATATGGGTGCTGCCAGGAGCTGGCATGTCTCTCTGTTATGAAAGGCTTTTGTTTGTTTGTTTTTTAAGATAAGGCTTCTCTGTGCAGCCCTGGCTGTCCTGGAACTCTCTCTGTAGACCAGGCTGACCTCAAACTCACAGAGATCCACCTGCTTCTGCCTCCCGAGTGCTGGGATTAAAGGCGTGCACCACGAAGTGGCATGAAAAGCCTTTTTAATTAAACATTTAAATGACATATTCTGCAGACCTCTGAGCATTTGAGAACTATCTATTGGGTATATCTGAGTAGACAAACATTGTCTTTAGTTACTTGTTTTAAGTCTAACTCTGAAAACATATAGGGGCTGGGTAAGGATTACCCATGTAATTAATTACATCAGCACTTAGCATGGCTGTAATTAAAGAGCATGATGATTTATAAGATGACTATTGACTTGTCTTCCTTAACAGTCTACAATAGGCTAGCAGCTCTCCCAAGTCTAGGACTTTACATTACATTCCTGTTAGGTTTAGCATTAATAACAATAATTTTGCCCCAGTCACTGAGCCGCCTCCAGGACTCAGCTACCTCCCCCTGGCTTCCTGACACTCCATCCACCCTGCCCCCTTTCTCCTGCTGTCACCTTCCACAGGCCGTGCCATTTCCATCAAGGAAAAGGAACCTTATTGTGTGTCCGCTATCCAGAACTGCCACTCTTTGGACCCCTTTGGTGATGCAAGTAAGGATGATGACCTCTTCCTGCTGGCACTGAGGATTCTATCCATATAGGAATTCAACAGAGAAATGGCAGGAAGACCCTTATCACTGTCCAAGGGATCGCTGATGATTATGATAAAAAGAAACTAGTGGGCCGGGCGTTGGTGGCACACGCCTTTAATCCCAGCACTCGGGAGGCAGAGGCAGGCGGATCTCTGTGAGTTCGAGGCCAGCCTGGTCTACAGAGCGAGTTCCAGGACAGCCTCCAAAACAATACAGAGAAACCCTGTCTCGGGGAAAAAAAAAAAAAAAAAAAAAAAAAAGATTGGTGGACAAGTCTGCATTATTAGGGCTGTCAGGGCCCAGACTTCGACCTTAACAATTCTGGTAACAATGAGGTAGAAAAGCAGGTCTTTGCTGTATTTTTTTCCTATTTTGGCTATTATCTTCAAACCTTAATGTTAATATTGCAGGGCATGGACATGTGGATGCATCCCTGTGCTGCTCTGAGAAGCCTAGGAAAGGCAGCAAGTGCCAAGGCTGCTGTCTCTTTGGACCTGAAGTTTTTTCCTATACAGATTTTTAAAAATCAAATAAAAGGAGTGTTGCATATAAGACGTCATACCTAGAATTATAGCACTTGGGAACTGAGTCAAGAGGATTGCCATGAGTTTGGGGTCAGCCTGAGCTACATGGTGAGTTTAAAACTACCCTGGACTGCGTGAGATCTTGTATCAAAAAGAAAAAGTTTCCCAATTCAACCTTCAACCTCACTACCTTCTCACTGGCTAGAGGATGGGGCTAAAACTCCCAACTCTTTAGTACTTCTTTGGTCTTTCTAGTGAAATAACTCCAGACGCTATAGGGGATACCAACCACCAGTCATTTCATTATTATCAAGCAAGTTAGGACTCGATAGATTCCTGGGACCTCATGAGCTATTTGTTGGAAAATAGATCCAAAACCAAACAAATATAAATCATATATTTATCTCACAGTATCCCAGGGGTAGAGAAAGAGGCTCATCAGGAAGCCACCAAACTGTGCCCTCAGACAGAATTCTTTTGTTTTGTCAACTTCATCATTAACTTAGAGACACTCTTGAGTCAAGAGATGCGGCCAGCACAATTAAGAGATGTGTTAGCTAGGTGACTGGAAGAGAGCTTGAGACAACGACTCTGGGATCAGGGAACTTGGGTTGGTGGATCTTGGAGCAACTGAGATAAGCAATGTAAAGTATTGTTGTAGGCAAAAGAAAGTGAAGACAGGAAGGAGGTGCTAAGTGTAGATTATAAAGAACAAGAGTTACAGGATTTTAGTACAGGTGTGATGAGTCCACTTAGTGTAGATTATGAAGAAAAAGAGTTACAGGATTTTAGTACAGGTGTGATGAGTCCACTTAGTGTAGATTATAAAGAACAAGAGTTACAGGATTTTAGTACAGGTGTGACGAGTCCACTAATGCAATAGTGGCAGGTCCAGTATTGGTGTAACCAACTACTTTCTTATTCAAATGAAGCCCAGTCCATGAGGATTCAACCCTGATACTGTCTTTTTATTATTTTTATTTTATGTGCAATGGTGTTTTACCTGCATGTTTGTCTGTATGACAGTGGCAGATCTTAGAGTTTCAGACAGGTCTGAGTTGCTATGTGGGGATTGAACCGGGTTTTTCTGGAAGAGCAGTCATTGCTCTTAACCACTGAGCCATCTCTCTAACGCCCTCCCACACTGTCTTAGTGTTTTTATTGCTGTGAAGACACACCATGACCATGGCAACTCTTAAAAATGAAAACATGGCCGGGCGTTGGTGGCGCAAGCCTTTAACCCCAGCATTTGGGAGTCAGTGGCAGGCAGATCTCTGAGTCCGAGCGTGTTCCAGGACAGGCTCCAAAACAATACAGAGCAGTTTAGTCCATTATCATCGTGGTGAGAAGCATGGCAGCATACAGGAAGACATGGTGCTGCAGAAGATGCTGAGAGTTCTACATCTTCATCTGAAGGCAACAGGAAGTGAACTGTCACACTGCACATGACTTGAACATATATGAAACCTCAAAACCCACCTCCACAGTGACACATTTCCTCCAACAAAGCCACACCTACTCCAACAAGGCCATACCTCCTAATAGTGCCACTCCCTATGGGCCAAGCAAACACCCAATTCTATGGGAACCATACCTCTTCAAATCACCACAGGTACTAAACAGTGTCAAAGTCCACGACTGGGACTTTCCCTAGTGGGAAAGCTTTTGCTGTTGTTTTGCTGGGTGGGAATGCCATAATGTGTAACTGTCAGATTGCCTTCTACATAATCATAGTAATAGTAATAGTACTGATTTATTTTTGATCAGAGAAGCTTCTTCTTGCAGTAGTGAATGGTGACTGCTGAGATTCATAACTAGCCAAAGAACTGAGAACTATTGACTGTGGAAAGCCCGGCCATAGATGGGACATCTTATCAGTCCTTCTAGGGATCAGAAAACACCCTGAAAGAAGTGAGAAAGTGACTATGAGATCCAGGGAAAGAGAGGAGAAAGATGTGTGGAATGAAGACTTCTGGGAATGGCAAGGCTGCTGTCCCTTGGACCCAGAGCCATTGTAATGACATGCACTAAGTCTGCACAGTACTAGGTCCATTAACTCACAGGACACAATTAACAGTGACAGCAGAGGAAGTGGTGTCCATGCTACTGTGAGCAAACCCTCACTTGTGCTTCTGTAAACAACCGTAATGAAACTCCTTGGGACACACACAGGACATAAATGTAGAGGTGTGGCAGCTGGGAAGGGCTAACAGAGCAGCTTTGTGACAGTCTCTTGGTATTCACCACTTCTGCCAGGCTGTGCCGGCAGCTTATGCGACCCTCAAAGTAGGTGCATACTAGATTTTAAGGACTAGGAAAATGGAGTTTTTTTGAAGACTCGAGGATGCAGTCCAGTGGTAGACCATTGACTTAGGGAACACAAGGTCCTGGAGTGATCTCCAATACTGCAAAAACAGGAGGAGGGAAGGAGGTGTGTGGGCACACATGCGCAATTGTGAGCAGAGGTCAGGGGATTGCTTCTGCCTCTGGTATGCAAAGATTAAAGGTATGTGTTGTGTAACTGTTTCCTCTGAGATTGAAACATTCTATCTACATGGAAGCTCCTTAAACAGGAAGGTAAACAACTCAAAACAGATTCAGGAAGTCCCCAAAACTAACCAGATTCACTAGGCTCTTCCCTGCCAGAATAAACAATATAAAGGTCAGCATCCTGGGAAACTAGCCTGCCAGAACAGAGCTGCCAAGACTCTCAGCCCAGACTAAGCTGCCTGGAAAAACGAGAAGCCAGCAGAGGAAGGGGTTTAGACCACTGAGGCACCGGAAGTGGACACTCTCCAACTGCCTACAGGCTGTGCAGTGTGCGCCAGGTTCCCAGCTTTGCCAGCACACATGCTGGGGTGGGCGTTGGTGATTCAGCCTTCTGTAAGTCATTTCTGCTCCTGTAAGTTAACTGCTCACCCATATTCTAAGTAACCCCAATAAAACTCATGGTTCACCAAGTTGTACTGTTGGTATCTGTACTTTGTTCTGTCGCCTATCCATTCCTTGTCTGTGGTGAGTCGACATGTGTGCTGCGTCTCTCCAGGAAAACTTTTGTCACACACAGAATGTGCCACTACAGACGGCTTATTTTTCCGTGAGTGTGTGTGTGTGTGCGCGCGCGCACTGTAATCCTATTTCTCCAATGTAGATTGGGAACTCTGAAGTCTGGAGCAGGGAGGGCTTCATTCTTGTTTGTTTTCAATGGGTCAGGCATTTTGCAGGTTGAGCTAAGTTTAGAAAGATACACTCACAGAGAAGTGATCCTCGGAATGAATGGCAAGTCCCTCTGTAGGCAGCTTCGTGTGGCCTGCCCTGGTCGACAAGGGACTACACACTGTACTACTGATGGTTGCAGCCTGACTTCCGTTCTCATTAACTGTGCCCTTACAAGTCTCATAGAAACCGATCTTCTCATCTCCATCTGCTGGCTTCTTTGCTTTGCCCCTTGATGGCTGCCTGCTTATAAAATTGATAATACATGCAGTGTGATTTATTAAAATGTTTAAAAGATCAAACCTAACAGTTCTCTGCTGCGTTATTGTTTTCATACAGAGACAGCTGCTCTCTAAGAAGTCAAACTTCCTGTCTGGGAAGGAGCAATAGGAAAAGCAGCCAGTTGGCAGCCTTGGAGTGGAGGGGGAGTCAAAGCAGGTTTTCTTTTTTA